TGTGTATGTGTGTATGTGTGCGTGTGTGTGTGTGTGTATGTGTTTGTGTGCGTGTGTATGTGTATGTGTTGTGTATGTGTCTGTGTCTGTGTGTTTGTGAATGTGTATGTGTACGTGTATGGAGGTAGGTATGCATGAATGCATGCATGCATGTATAATCACAATCAGTATGTCGATGAGTCAGAACGAGGGTGTATGTGTATATGTATATATATATATATATATATGTAAGTAAATATGCATTATGCCCAAGAAAATGTCGCCGACCCTTCAGACAACGATAGAAACTCAGGTCAGCCGTGTTGCTGCCACCACAACTCCCACTATTGTTGCCAGGACGCGCGTTAGTTTACAGCCGGAGCATGTTCCCTGCCAGGTTAAGCCAAAACGCAAGCCAGCCCTGCAACACCAATGGCACGTTTTCCTGCGATGCGCGACGTGCCGTGTCACAGGGCAGCTCTAGACCGTGCACGCATATTCTGCTAATCACTCGTCATGCCAGGAGGCACTTGCGGGGTATGCTTGGCGTCTTCTTGTGAGATGCTCGACGACATCGCAGAGGATCCCACACGGCATACCTTCAAAATCCCAACCCTAGCTGATCCCCCAGGCCACTGGCACAGCGGATGGGTCGGCGGCAACTTTACCAACAGTCTCGGTAGCATCAGAACTCAGGACTTTCATGGCTAGTGTTCACGTTGATACTGCGGTGTCTGGAACCCTAAACACCTTAAAGCCCGGACTGCACACCCAAATCTCCCTCGACGCAAACATACCTTCAAACCACTTTCATTCGCTGAAGCGGCATCCTCAGTTCTGGTGCGGAAAGAAGTGGCATCGACAGTTTCGCCCATCTAGTCAAAGGATGATCGACAAAGGATGATCAAGGATGAGGGACTTAGAAAGTCATTGATTCAGCTCAGTGCAAGTAACCGAACTACAACGCCGGCTAAGGTCGTCATGTCCCATTTTGTAACCTACTTGCTACGCCTGCTGATCTTTTCAGTGGGTCTTGGCCACGCTATAGATTCATTCGCACGCCACTTTGGCAACCCCAGGCAAGTTCTGCAGCATCGACGAAAAGACCTGAAGGACAATGATCTGCGTTTCGTTGAGGGGCCTCAATAAGGGTAGATCTCTAAGTTAGGGTCGCTTGTTAGATTCCCAAATAGTACGGCACCCTTCCAAAATGACCCTAAACGGGGCCCTAATTTACAGAACTGCTCATAATCAGAACAAGGTTGTGGGGTGGATTTTAGTACGGCTAGCGGCTAGTATAAGGAGTCCCAGGCCCAAAGGCAAAGTATAGGCAATCATTCAGCACTGATCTTGGTTAGACCTGGAAGCAGCAACAACACCTCAACACCAAGCCTGTACCGTACCACCTGAACGCTGTAGCTGCAAGGCCCTGAATAAAACGAGTCCTAAAGTGTGGTTTAGGGTTAGGGGCTCAGGGTTAGGGGTTCAGGGTCGGGGGGTTCAGGGTTTACATAGTTGCAGGGAAGGCCATGACTTGAGACATCGCTTTGGGATTCAGGCTGCTGCAAGGAAGGCCAGGGCCCCCAGTGCAGCAAAAAATGTCCACCATGTTCAGGTCGCTTCAATGCAAGAGTGTGGGGGGACATGGGCCTAAAAACGAAGACATAATCTAAAGCATATGGGTAGCTCTCTAAATTCATGGTCCTTTTCTAGATCCCAAATATAGTCCGGCACCCTTCTAAAAAACGACCCTTAAAGGGACGCTAATTATTAGAGAACTACTGATATCTGCATAAGCAGTACCTTACGAAAGAACCTTGGACTAGAGTGTCATGTGGGTCTCCCGTGCCTCGTGTGTCAAGCTGGGAACCAGCCCAGCCCGGATGACCACTACCTGCGCAGGGGGTCATGGCCGTAGACAGGAACAACAATAATATATTTTTCTGCAATGTACCAAAGAACCCCCCCTTTTAGTATTCAGGCCCCTACACAAACCATTACAGCCATCTTTCGCTTCACATGCTTCGTACACTAGCCCAAACTAACCTTCACTCTGAAGAGGGGCCCAATCCGCAGGCGACC